GGCTTTCTGTGATGATAGTTAGACGTTGCTATTGATGGAGCTGATGATGTGGATAGCAACTTAAGTGCCATTAAAGGAGGAGGGTATGTTAAAAGCTGTAGCTATACTTGAGATTTCAAGTAGATCCAATAAATTCTTTCAACATTCAAAACAATTTGTGTAGAGTCTTGAATTAATAAACACTGCAATGCATTATGTAGATGATAAAAATAAGCAGTGCATTTGTACTTTTTCTTGGGAATTTTTCATTTAGGGAAAAACAATTTATAGGGGTTTTACCCATTTGAGAAATGTATGCTTTTGTTGTATTTCATTTATATTCTAATGACTCTGTCATGTAAAACAGAAATCGGGATGTTAACACCAGACACTTAGGAAACTGAATTTACACAATTTGTTTCTTGCATTATCTCTTTAAGGAAAAGTTATTGCAGATCTACAGATCTTTGGCTTGGAGGTATCAAAAGCTGTAGCATTGATTTGATTCTGTTTTTTTTTTTTTTTAGAGGCTGTTTAACCCAAGAGAAGATAGTAGCATCTTGTGCTAAACAATTTATTATCATTGCAGATGACAGGTCAGAAACAAAGTTCCATGGCTTTCTCACAAGCATTCCTGCTTTATTTCTTACAGTATACTTTCACTTGATTAATTTGAAATCTGAAGCAGGAATGTTTTATGAATTAATTTGCAAGGATTGCAAAACCCTTGTCAAATATTCTTGAAATACCCTGCTCTACTCTCAATCTTGAATCATCTGCAGGTGCTTCAATTTTCTCCAAACCCTTAACTCCCAAGATCTCCTTAGTAATTCTCCTTACTGTCTGTAGTACAGTTCTTGTGATGTTAGTTTGGAGAATTTGGCATTGGATCAACTTATAATCCTTAATCTCTTATCACTTGTCTGATTGATGTTGTATTGATATTGTAAGGAGAAACTTTGTCTTGGTCACTCATGGGAGTTAAAGGGTTAACTAAAGTAATGTTTAAAAGGAGGAATGGAAGGGACTTCTAGAGCTGGAGGGGGTTTTTGAAGAATTATGACTTGGATCGTACATTTTAGATTGACAGACCAGGAAGGCATGGTTGAGAAAAAGATCTTATATAACGAGTTCTAAGATGTTGGTAATGTTTTTTTCTTTTCCTCTCAGAAAAGATTCTAAGCAGCTTGGTGAAGCAGTAAGTACATTTTTTTTATCAATATGTTTTTAATTAAGGGTTAGCTCAATTTTTTAATTTGGTATATACATGGAATCAAAAATTGTTCAAAGAATGAATTAATAAACAGGTGCCATATTGGCAATGAAAGTGATTGTAGACAGTCTGATAAATAAATGTGCAGTATTGTATTCAAAGGACATTAAGAATGGAGTGTCAATGTCTTTTAACATTTCAGTTCAAGAAGGGAATTCCAGTTGAAGTGATCCCTATGGCATATGTACCTGTGATGAAAAAAATAGAGAAACTTGGGCTTAAACCAATCCTTAGAATGGCACGAGCTAAAGCAGTAAGTACATACAGACAAATAAATGATCTCTTTGTATCAATGTTGTTAAATGACCCTCAGAATGGGAGCTCATTGATACTATGCCTGCTTATTTCTATTTGGCAGCAGTCCTTTGAGGTGACATACCCACCCCCACCCAGAAGAGAGGGGGTGGGAGCATTATGTGCCATTCCAAAGAAAAGTTACAAAGTGCCTCAGTGTTTGGTGTTACAATTTAAGATCATATCTGCTGATGTCATGTTCTGCAGCCACATGAATAGTCCTTTGAGATGTCACACAGCACTCCCTCACCTACCCCTTCTTGAATGAAAAAAATGGAGGCAGATGTCTTGTGTGACATCCAATAAAGCAGCTGCCAAGTCCCTTTGTCTAAGTGACCTTTTAAGAGCAGATCTGCAGATGTCTTGTTCAACGGCTACAAAGTATTTCGGGTCGTTCGCAGAGTCCCTAGTAAAATCGATACGTACCAACTATTGCAGCAAGCTCCCATAAGTTATTTGAAAGATATGCTTTGTATTTGCACACTAAGGCATAGGGTGTCCACTTACTTTTCTAATCAATTTTGGCCGCTGTTTTATCTCCCCAGGGTCCTGTGGTGACTGATAATAGCAATTTCATCATTGATTGCCAGTTTGACAAGGTAAACACTCGGTAAACTATATTTTTGTTTGCTAGAATGATTGTGTCAGTCATTTATTGTGTCAAACCATAGGCACAAATGTAATACTATAAGTGCTAAGAAACGAATTATGGAGGTTGGCAGTGTTACTGCCTCGTGATCAAATTGGTGCCAAACAGATGTTGATATCTGCTAGCCTGCCTATAAGAGTTTGTCCATCTTGTTATTATCCGTTTTTGTATTCGCGGAACTGCATTCTCCAACAACCAGTTTGGAAAGTCTTTCTTCAATGAAAAAAGCAATTCTTCATTAGCTTGCCAGCTGGCCCTCATTACGAGCGCTTCGTGCTCGAGCGTTTCTCCGCCCTCGTCGTGCAACGCGAACTGGAGAGAAGCCTGCAAGGAGTCTGGCACTTCATTAGAGCCAGACCCCCGGCAAACCTCTCCCCGACTCGCACGCGGAGAAACGCGCTCTGCAGCGTTAATAATGAGGTCGTAGTCGTAGGCTAAGTTTTCATATTCCCTCCCCTCCTATCACGGTCTTTGATTGACAGATCGATAGCAAGTAAATATGTCATTGACAGAAGGTTGAGACGTGAGCTATCGGTATCGTTTGATTTACATGGAATTTTTTTGGAAGAGTTTTTCCTGTGTTGCTTTAAGGTTTATGACTGGAAAGAACTAAATACGCAATTGAATTTAATACCAGGTTAGTATACGTTTTTTGTACCTCGAAACTTTGGTTGAGTAAAGGAAAGTATGTATAACTTGACGAAAATATCCGAAGCAGACTAAAGTGTATAAATCTTTGCTGCTCTTTTGCTGTTTTCATGTGGGTATACTTTTGATTTCAGTGTGCTAAGATTACTTTCCTACTAAAATTTACAAATCTCCACCTTGACAGTGGGGTTTGGGGTGATTTGGGTGTGCCGACCAACACACGCATAACGCTTTTTGATGTCGCGCAAGGGTGCTAGGGGTAGTACCTTCGAGTTCCGTCAAAGGCAGTGAAAAGGAGGCCACGCACGATGACGTGTGGGTCTGTTTCCTGTTTTTCTAACTTTTCCAACTTTTCATATTCTAGGGGTGGTAGAGACGGGGCTGTTTGTTGGTATGGCGGAATGTGCCATATTTGGAAAACCGGATGGCACGATCACTAAAAGATAGCTTGGCATTTTCTGATTCAAACACACTTGCTGGACAACGCCACGCAAGTGCATATGGACAAACGTTTTTTTTCGTCGATGTAAGGCACTTTTGTTTTTTATAAGGCAAAGTCTGTGAATTTTTCATAATACTGCTACCTGTAGAGCAATTTACTGTGCCGAATAATACTTTTTAGCTTGCAATGCCGGTAGGTTTTTGGACGCTCGATGAAAACAGAGGCAGCAGGTCCTAGGAAACCAACTTCGGAACTTTGATAGGAACCTCCTGGAGGTTCCGCCGCATGGTTTTTGCGGTTCTGCCACCTGGCGCATCAAAGGGCAAACAAAAGTTGCAGTTCGGCATGCTATGAACTTTTATTGAGGGGAGGTGGTGAAAAAGCATGCGCTATTTAAGTTGAGAGTCGCTCATTTTTGAATGCATTTTTGATGTCAACCCCTCTAGCCGGGAAAGGCCCAGGTAAAGGCAATGTAGAGGCGGTTATTTAGCGGTGAATGTTATATTTAAAGGGAAGCCTCGACGTGATTACACACTCAATGGTAGCCATTAAAACAACAAACAAACAAGTGAAAACAGATAAAAAGATACTAAAAGTGCTTCATGTAGTCAATGTATTGGACTCCGAATCAGAATACAGAATGTCTAAGGTTCACTTCGGGAATTACTCCGTCATTTTTCTCTAGCTGCGTTCATAGAAAGTGAATAAACATCTTTTTTCTTTCGACGAACAAGCTCGATGTTTAGCATCTTTCTTCACCCAGGTAAAACTATAGCCTTGCTTGCTGTGTGCTTGTCCTTTGTGTTTTAAAATGGTGATTGAAATGAGAGGAGCGCAATCTGGTCCGAAATAATCACATGCGTGATTTGAAATCGTAACATGATTTCAGATTAAACTGCATTACTCGAAGTTCGATTGCTACACTATTCAATCCATTTTGTGTAGTACAAAAGGAAAATATGTCTCGTTGTTTAACCAAAAGTAAAGATGAATCAGACGAAACAGGAAACTCGTATTATTTCGAGGAAAACAGTTGTCAACCAAGCGATGGCTTTTAATTTTCGCATGAACCTAACCCGCCTGCCCCGCGGGGGTAGAAAACGAAGAAAATGAATTATTATTGTTGAAACTTTACGAAAAACCCGAGAAAAGATGCGACGCGTTTAAAATTTAATTGCCTGCATACATGATTTTAGTCGGTACAAATATCTCGTCGTCATTCAGAAACTGTAAGGAATTGAATGTATCGATTCATTTGAATAAAAAAAGATGATAACGAAACGACGGAGAGCAAAAGTTACATAATTCACCACACAATAGCCCCTTTGTCTTCATTTAACAACAATCTGATTAGTAACATTAAATAAGCTATGAAATCTAATGAATTGTTCTAGGATTGCTTCTCACCGGCTGGGAAAAATGTGCGATTTAGAGCAAAAAATAGTGCGATTCGTGAATTGCACGCACTGCTGAGAGCCAATCAGAGTGCAAGGATGATAAATGATTTGAGAGTGGATGTAATAAATGTTACAACTATGACCAAATTTACCAACAAGTTCTTTTGCAGCTCAGTTGGTTTCATGGGTTAAACCAGAGTGAAAAAAACTCGAGAAACTACGAGGCTTTAATGAGCAATGCGAGCCGTCGAGAGGTCTATTTATGAAGTATTTATTACTAATATTAGTGCCCGACCACCAGCAGACCTCTCCCCGACTCGTTTCAAATCTTCCCGCCGGAGGAGGAACCCTCACGCGTCTTGTAGCGCTAATAATAATGGGGCGAGCTTGAAGGCTGATTTATCGCGGCTTCAGAATATAATATTAAATGCTTATCGGCTCTCAATTGGTGATACCTGAATCAGAGCAGATGTTACTTTGCGATGAGAATCACCTTGAGCTTATTTTTGTTCAATATTATTATGTACTTGTTGGTGCAACGTCAGTAACTTGTATATATGTTAACACACTGTTGTCGTCAAAGGCGAGAAACGGATTAATCCTATACGCCCTAACATCAGTATGCGTATTCTTTATACTGCTCTCTATACATTTCCAAAGGTGTTGACAAGGAGACTTTGTCTAACAGTCAAGAGTTTCTGTAGTTGGCGATCATTTTCCTTACGCTCGTGACCTTCATGTTTGGTTCAGGGGTAGTATTGTAAAGCCAAATTAGATGCTACTCACCCCAAGGAGTTAAAAATTGATTTTAAAATGTCATTGCACACTGAGTCCAACGTTTCTGAAGTATCACAGGACCACTGCTTGACAGGCTTCATCCATGTGCATTACATGTCGACTTGTCTCAAAGCTTAACTTCGTTTCTGAATATGCTGTTACTTCTTATTTTGAACAACTTTAACGAGTGTGAAGTTTTTTTTCGCATACCTAAGACATGCTAGCTTTCTCTTGCGACTACAAGCAGCGCGTTCTCTTAAGGACTTGATGATTCCGCTGATTGCAAATCTTAATTCTGAAGAAAGCGGATGTTGAGCGTCTAAATCAAATAGAAAACCCTTAATAATTTCTTTCATAGCTCTGCTTTATTTTGCTACTTCAGTGTCTCGTATTACACGTAACAAAGCGCGCTTTACCAGAAAGGGATGATAACCTTAGCAGCGTAAGACATACAGTATCTCAATTTCACAGATAGATTTATTAACTGAAAAAAAAAAACAAACAATTAATGGTGTATTGCAAACACCTGTAAAAACTAATAAAATCTCCGATTAGGGTGTTAATTTTAATATTTACCTTTTACAACGTTGCATGTGGTTGTCTGCCTCAGTGGGACGGACCATTGTCACCTTGCAAGTTTTCATTTAGGATGAGTTAGCGTGCTGTTTTGAAGCTATTATTGATTTGGAAATTGATACGAATTGAATGAGGTCGTTACAATTTGGAACGCAAAATTGAAATCGATCAACAGTTTTTTTCTAATTAAAAGTAATTTGGGCACGTCAATGCATGTAAAGAGATCAGGAGTGTTTTAGTGATTCTGGAGCTGCAGGCTTTGATCACGATTCTAAAAACAATCGCAAGATATCACGTTTCTATTTCTTATTTGAAAGTTGTGTTCAGCATAACTTGCATTTCCTTTAAAATTGTCAAGCAGAAGTCTTAATCACTCATTCAATGAGACAGCCGAACAAAGCGCCGTGTGACATCACATTTCTTATTGATATTATAAAGGTTGTTTACTTTTAAAGGACTTCTCCGATATTAAAAGTCGGTAGGGCCAATTTGTAGTACCCTGATCCTCTTTGATGTCATATACTCTGCCCGCCTGGAGACTTACATTGTGAAACGCCATCTGATCACCCAACCAAGTGAAAACCTGATGGCTAATTCAACTATAGAGAGGACCTACGAATCTCACCACCCGCCCGAACTAAAAATTCTCTTCTACACTGCTTTCATCATTTCTCTCCCTCTAACTGTATTCGGTAAGTTCTTCACTTAACTGCCTAAGAAAGTTTTAAATTTACGACATGTGCGAACAGGGCGAAAGAAAAATTGCCGAAATATGAAGTAAATAACTTGATTATCGCTTAGTAAAGATTTAAAAGTTTTAGAATGACTTTCAGCGAAAAGAGGAATTAATTTTCCAACGAAGTCGTCACACAGTGGACGATCATTTGTTTAACTCTCGATTAAATATTGAGAGAATATGTTCTAAAAATATAAGTTTATGGTTTTTTGAAAGGAAATAATTCATCCCCTGTGATCACACTTCACAATGTATGACGAGTTGACTTTCTAACTCGGCTGAATAAACGGGTCGAACAACTTCGCCAGCAACACTCGGAGCACTTTGTTTTGATCTTTAATTTTCCACAATTGTGTAATTTTCAACACTGAAATGACTCTTTGAGTGAAAATACCCGGGAGAAAAAATATGGCCTGGTATATTTAGAGGCTATATTTCTGGGGAGCCCCTTCTAAACACTTTTAACCTTTTCGGGACGGGAGAAATGGATTTGGAGATCTACATAAGAGTGTTCATTTTATTTGCTTTAAAATGTTTGTCCAAAGAGGCAAATTATCCACGACATCTTTTACCCTTTTTCAGTAGTAATCAAAATTATTTTTTGGTTGATTCATTCAAAAAGTCGCGTAAAATATTTGGTAATAATTTCTCCAAGACTTCAATTTGATTGAAAACGGCCCTCCATTCGTTTCAGATTTAATTTCTCGATATATTCGCGCGGATGTATAATTGTCAGGATACAATAAAAGGCTAATACAGTTGTTGGGCTTTTCAATCGATGACTAAAAACACTTCTCTCTGGGGTAGTTTGCATTTCAATAAATCCACTTATTATTTTAACGTAAGTATTCGAGCGTGACCTAATAATTCTTGTCTGAGCTCAAACGAATTCAAGTTGTTTAGTTCGCAGTTATTTTTTCCAGCGCAGGCTTCGTTGGTAGCGTGTAAATAAGAAAATAACAAGGCAATATAACTAAGAAACCGCGATTTTTTCGTGACAAATCCATGACAAAATATGTGAAACCCTTTAGAATAACATCTAACATCTTTAAAACGGCTAAAAGAGCACCTATTTATTTATTTTTTTGGCTTCCTTTTTCTTATTCCAAAAGATAATCAGAGATGATCAAGACCTCATGAAATTTGGCATCAGAGCTTTTAAATTTCAGCAAAGCCCACATATCTAAAGATTTAATTTAAGTCATTGCTAATTTGATGTGTAAACCGTTTGTGGCCTTTCCTAATTTCCTTGATGCGAGAATAATAGTGGTGGATTATTAATATCGCAATACAGAAGCCATTATTTTCATTAGTTTTGTTAACCACGGCAACCAAAACTCAACAAAAACAGCTTTTCTTGTAGCAAAGATCTGAGTGTGAATTAAACTGCAGAATCATGAATCGCTGGAATTTTTCTTGAAATTTACTCGGTAAAATATATTTTATTTCATGAGCTGTGTAAGGAAGAGAATTTCAAGTCCAAAAGTTTAAGTTGGAAAGGTTTACAACGCAAGTTTCAAAAGGTTCGTTCTATTGATCTGCGATGGCAAGTTAGAGGAACGATTACCAGAAATTAAGTTCATGGTAAAACTCTAACTTTTATCATTCAAACGAAACATTGGGTAGTGCTATCTTTTTTCGCCAGTTCTGAAACAATGATATTAGATACTTTTTTATTACTTCAAACAAGTAACTGAAAGTGCGAGAAAAGTGAAAACACCTTGATAGATGCTTAAAGAATTGAACTACGCTTTGGAAAAGACAGCCAGGACTGGACTGGTTTTTCGTTTCTCTTCAAGGCCAGTAGAACTCGCCATTACTTCTGAAAAATGGGAAAATTTCTTTGTTTTAACGGTTGAAATATCCAACAGCCAGCATTGGTAACTGAGCCTTGTTTTCTTTTTATGCAAATGTTTAATTTGCTGCGGCTTTCAGCTGTCTAAATGGATTTGTATTAATTTTGAGTAACGAGTTTTTACTCCATCTCACTTATTGCTGTCAACGCGAAAAGACAGCGCGCTTCCCAGAGGAGGGGGGGGGGGGGGGGGGACGGTAAGTGAAGCTTGGGAGGGGGTGTTGGGCTGCTTTGTCCTTAAAAACGAGAGCCATATGTAAACCCCGCAGTGCTTAGCTGAAGTCTTGTTTTAAGATGCCGGTCCAAAACGTCACCCTTTCTCGTAAGCTAAAGAGCAAACCTGTTTGAGACTCAAGGCCCCCATAACCAGACCTAATTTTGCAGCGCATACATTTTTAGGGAAGTTAACTGAAGAATGTTCATCTTCCCCCCTGGAGCGTGCTTATAGCGGAGGAGTAATTTGGGTGAGCATTATTTCATCAACTGTACGTCGACATAATTGAGATGAATATGACAATCGGAGGTATTAAAATATCTGCCGATTTCTGACTTGTGATACGATTATCGCGCGGAACTCACGGCTATCATGCGAAAATTGGGTTATTTACAGAATATATTGAAAAGGGGGCCTGGATGTCAGAGAACATCACAAGAGCCGTCTAAACGAACAACATTTACTTTTTTTTTATTACTTATATAGTTTATGGTCGAGGAATTCCCTCTAAAACCACATGACCATTTTATTGACGGAGAATCGATTTCCAAAAATATTTCAATTCTTTTTCTTGCCCCTTACGCTTTAAAAGATTAGATAACGTAAAAAATTGTAATAATCTGAAAATTTTAGTTTAATAGTAATGTCAAACATCAATTTCGATTTGCATGGATATATGAATCTTATTTTTGTCTTTTTTCATTGCCGGTGCCGTCGATTCTTTGATAGCGGCGTCTTTGGCACAATTATATCGGGAAACTGTTGGAACATTTGATGCACTGTTTCCGTTTATATTTGTCAGCTGTATTGAAATTTGCGCGGCCATCAACTGCTCTCCAGTATCGGAGATCTTCATGTCGCATATTCCTTGGAAGAATTCTGAATGTTTACAATATAAAATTTGGACAATACTTAAAAGCCTTCTTCACATTTGATAGAAAGACAAAAAAAACCAGCCAGAACTGTGTTTTAAATATGAATTGTATTCCATGATTACTCATTTTTGGTAAAAGTTTTCCTCTCTGAAATAGAATCAGAGATAGATTCAACGAGTTTTCTTTTGTTGTTGTTAAGATAGATACATGAAAAATGAGCACAGATCGAGATCAATAAAATTGGCATTGTTTTACCTTTCTTTTCTGTTTTGTTGGAGATTCTAGTTGATTTGAGAGTTTCAGAAGACGACGACTAGAATCGTTTTGGTGAACAGGAGCGATTTAAAACGTTCTTTTCAAAGCTGTTTCATCAATCGATTTGAACACCTATCTCGGCAAATTTGATCTACAACGAAAGTCGATTAAGGATTCCACCACTGTGGTATAATCCATCAATTGTTTCTTAATAAAGCCAAGCGTGGCGATTTGGCGCTTGAACCTTTATATAAATGACACGCAAAAACATAGCGCCAGCCAGAATGTGAATCGCGTTCTTCAGCTGTTTTTGGAAAGGTTGACATCTATGCATGCAAATGCAGCTTCCTTTCTTCTGGTAGAGGGGGGCTTGGGTTGGATTAGAGTATCACCCATCTTAAAGCCCATCTGGGGAGGCCTCTTTGACAAAAACGTCTATTTCTAATATCTACTAATGACCGAAACCGCGGAAGTACAAAACGTTGTGAAACACTTTTAGGCCTAACGTATAGACTCGAATAAACGTTTTGACACTTACGTGATATTTTTTTCTCCTCAAGTGCGGCGCTTATTTGAGGGTGGCGCTTATTCAAAAATTGGATTCAACGAAAAAAAAAATGTTGTATGTTAATTAAACGGTATATTTTAAAGCCTTACAGAGGTGTCTTTTAATTGTCACCATCCGTCTCTTCCCTCATTTTTCAATTTCATTACCAGAGGTGTCTTCACTCCATTTCGATCTCACTGGCTCATTCTTGATCTAAGGTACTCACTCTTCCAAGTCTGAATCTGTGCATTGAAAAGGATTTGCTTATTGTTCTCTCGACATAACCAACTGCGTATGTAACATTAAAGCTTGTAAAAAAAGTCTTCGAATAGGCACCGAATCGAGACCAGAGACAGCTCTTATTAACTTTTCTATGGCAAACGCGGCGCTTACTCTAGGGAAACGCTTAGTCGGAGGCGACGTTTTTTTTTCGAGTAAATACGGTCTTCTGTGAGCACGGTTGAAAAGCATTGCGACATTCTTCTCAACAACATCGTCCTGGGTTAACAACGTTCATAATTAGCAAATATCTCTCCGATTCTGCATGTTTTGCAACAGTTTCATACATTTTTTTTACTTCTTTTAGGAAATGGTCTCGTCATATTAGCAGTTGTTATTAATAAGAAACTCCGTTCCGCCACCAATGCTCTGATAGTGAGCCTGGCCTTTGCTGATTTGCCTGTTGGTCTGGTGATCTTCCCTCTTATTTCCTTGACACAGATATACGGGCCAAATCTACACTATGGCAAGCAGTTGTGCAACACAACGATCTTCTTTACTGAGGTGTTCCTGAGCGCCTCGTGTCTTCATTTGTTATTCATTAGCTTGGATAGGTATCTAGGTGAGAAGGCTAAAAACACTAAATTAACTTGTTGGACTTTATATTAATTATGTATTACTAAGGAAGGCGTTGTTACCAAAAACACAGTGTAGTATTCCCTTTGGCTTCAAGGTTTAAATTCCCCACACAAAATATGAACATCATTTATTATGTATAAATTCTCTTTTGTGCTCTCTTCTCTTCCCTTGTAAACAAGTTGTCCGCAATCATATTTGAATGTGACCAAAAAAATTGATCCTTGGCCATTTTTTTGCATTCAAATAAGGACCTAAATACTTTAATTACAAAGAGGGAGGAAAGGTTTTGCGCCTTTTATGACGTAAAAAACACGGTTGGGTACAGCGATGAGTGTTTTCTTGTTAGAAGTTCTCAGTCAGTCTTCGGAATAAAATTATCGTCTAGAGTTGAGCGTGACTGCTTTAGAAATCTGTTGTAATTGGACGCTCATGGGACGCATGAGTCGCTTTTTTAAAAAGTTTTCTTTAAAATAGCAAGATCAAATTTTTTAACCACTCGTCTTCTCTTTTCTTCTAAACGTTTCTTTCGTTTAATCTCTTTATAGCCTTCATAGCCCAACATCAGTATGCATATTCTCCATACTGCGATCTGCACATTTCCCATGTTACTGACATGAAGATTTGTATATCAACTAATAGCTTTTTTTTTTCAGTTGGTGCTTATTTGCTATATTCTCATAACTTTCATGTGTTGTTTAGTAGTTATACTGTAAGGAGAAGCTCGATGCTGATCACTCTTGGGGTTAAAGGGCCAAGGTGGTCAATAAAGAATTTTTGCTTATCATACGAACCATAAGATCCCATCTCTAAAGACGTCAAAGATATGCTTTCACTCCACCCCAATCCCCTCTCTCAAGGTTCCAATACTCACCGTGCCTGCTCCCTTTGCAGCAATCAATAACGCTCTTCGTTACCACGCTATCGTCACCGCAAGACGTATCGCTTACGTCATAGCCTTCATTTGGACTTTGTCCGTGCTCGTGGCTGTGTTTCCTTTCCTTGGTTGGCGGGACGTCCGGCCTCGTTCCCAGGGAGGCTTTTGTCAGTATCACCTGAACCTCGCTCCCAGTTTTATTCTTTTTCTGCATATAACCGTGTGCCTGACACCACTGACCATCACATGTCTGGCGTACTGTAAGATATTCCAAGTAGCTCGACAGCAGGCTCAGAAAATCGCCGTTATGACGGTAAGATGTGTTGCTTCTTTGTTTGCAAGGATGCAGTGCGGAAAATAAACTTCGTAACCAAAACAAACAGTAAAAACATACAAATACATTAGGCAAAAGAAAATTAACCTGAGGAGGAACAAAATGTGTAGAAATTTAAGTGGTAACGATTTTACAAGTGATTGGAAAGCAAAAAATAATCAAGAAAACAACAGCAACAAAAAAACATCTTAAAACACTGTACATATTTGAGTGATGATTCTGATGACAAAAACTCAGGTGTTAACCACGGAATCATGGTGATTCAGCAGTCCATTTCCAAATTTATCCAGACCTCCACATTAGGACACAAAAGAGGAACGTATAATACATAAATTGAAAACTATATTTTAGCCCCGTCTAACCCTATGTGGGGGGCGGAAATGCCATGAAAAATGTTTTTACTCCGCATTTCCTTTCTTCATAATTTGAAGGTTTGCATAAATTATATGGAAATATAATTGTTAAGAACATTAAATGCGTTATACGTTACGATCAGGTAATAGTCGTGAGGAGACTGTAACGAGGAGGGCGTGGTCGTTTGGTGATAGCTTTTTCAGAGAGCCCTATTCTTACCATCGTCTACTGCACACAGCATCTTTTTATTCAAAGTGTGTAGGAATTACATCAAATCTAATAGAATCAGTCTGGATGAGGTATTGGGATAATAATCCTGTAAACTGGTGATTTTTCGGGCAAAACGTTAATTGTTTCTTGCAGGTTAGTGGAAGTGAACAAGAAAAACGCCGTAAGAAGCTGGAAAAAGAGCGTAAAATTACTCTATCGGTTGCGGTTGTTGTTGGAGTGTTCATCCTCTGTTGGGGGCCGCTTAATGTCATGCTCATCGTTTACTGTGTATGTCATAGCTGTGTCTCTTCTCTTGCTATCGAGGCAGCGGAAGTGTTCTCCATGTTAAACTCTGGCTGTAATCCACTCATCTATGGAACTTTTAACAAGGACTTCCGCAGGACCTTTAAGGCTATGTTACAATGCCGCTGGCGTCAAATCAACCGTGAAGAGATCGAGGGCTCAACCCAAGTGGCTATGCGCGCGTCGAAGGACTCAGTGGAAAGTGCGAAGTGAAAATTATCAGATACAACAAACAGAAGTCGGTTCACTACGATTTTCATTTCGATTACCGGAGATGATTTTTAAATCTCAAGTTGAAACGCACAAACGAAAAAAAAAAAAAAGATTTAATGAAATCCGTTAAGAAGGAATTCCAAGGATCAGTGATGCGGTTATGAGCTGCTTTTGAAATTTAAAAGGGACGCTGCAGAATTAAATATATCTACATAACAATGTTTTATCGCTTAGGGAACGTTTTATCCTTTGCAATATTAGACATGTACCTTAACTTGGACGATTTGAAATTGAATGTTCCAATCAGTCAGTCAGTATGTCGATCAACGCCCCGCTCACTGTTTGCTAGTAAATTAAAAAAAAAATCATTTTCATTCAGGAATTTCGGCAAAAGTTTAACTCCTTTGTTTAAGAAACGGACAAAAATTTCCTTGTCCACACGGTAGTGGTCACCGCTGGCAGAAAACTTGCCTGCATCCTGGCGCATGCGCATAATAAAGGTTAGTTCCCAAAAGGGTTGGAATCGTAAGAAAGCTTGTAGTAAGACTGTGAACTTCAATTGCTCTCTAAGTCCGTAATCTGATACCCCCCTCTATCTACAAAAAAAGATCGCAGTTTAACAAAGGCTAAGGCGGATTACGAGCTCTCGCCTGGCCTCTCTCTTTTGTAAAAAAAGTGAGTTCGTTCGTAAAAAAAGGCGAGCCAACCTGGTTAAAAAAGGGAAAAGGAAAGTGGTCTGAACTTCGACCAAGTGGCCCATTAAGCCGGAATTTTATTTATCCCGGTTTCTGTAGCATGAAGGGACCAGGGAAGGGGGTGGGATGCTAATCCATCACAGTTAACCCCGGTATTTCGTCACGTCTTTTTGACAATTCGTAGGTACCCATCTATACTCCTACAAAGAGAGAGACACTGCGAGAGTCACGTGTCTTGCCTAAGAACATAACACGATGAACTGAGCAGGTCTCGTACCCAGGCCTCTCGACCCGGAGTCCAGTGCACTAACCGTCAGGCCTTTGAGTCTGATCAGCAAGATTGTAACCGTGGTTGAAATGATCTCCTATGAATACCCCAGCCCGGTTATCGAGCTAAGACTTGAAAGTTTGCACTTACACCGTCTTCGTAAACAAGCTGATATTATGCTCGGGAGCTGTGCTCAGGTTTAATTCTCAACTGAATAACGGGATTAATAAGTAACCGATACCACTTAAAAGAGCATGCACTACGCTCACTACTCACGTGTGCATCAAACGGAAGGCAGTGTACGTAGGTTCCGTCCAAACTTTGCCGAAGTAATTTGAAACCAGTACTTTTTCTGTTAAATTAGGCCTACCGCAAACACTTATCTGGATACAGATCGTCAGCCCAAAATAGAGGTTTACGAAAAAGCTCTTAGAAATGGTTGATATCAAAATGGCTTTCCGTTGTAGTAAGGAGGTCGTCGTTTCACTTATTAGCGGCGTTCATCTGAAAGACAAAATTTAAAGCAAAGCCGCATGGTAATCAAGCCTTTTCATGCAACCGTGAAATTGGCAAATTTAAGTTGGAGTTTTTATCAGGAGAGAAAAAGATGTCGGCTTCTAATAGAAATAAGACACAGCTGCTGTCGAAACAAAGACCGTGAGATGACCAAAGAGACAGCTTACCCGATTGGTGCTTTGAGTCGCAGCTAATTGAAAAGTAAACATCGCTGACGTGTCATTTCTTTAAAGTGAATAATCTGGAAAGCTCACCTTGGGAGGCCTAAACAGAATTGACTTTAAATATACAGCCGGTTTTAATAAGCTATAGTTAACATGGAAATGACGTATTTCGAAACGAGCACCATAGTAAAGAAACACAAAAAAATTGTTTCATTATCATGTGGTGAATTGATATCATTGTTGACTATATGGTTTCCTCACTGAACTGTCAATGAACAAAGTTCGTGATTTTGTTGGTTTCAATGCTTTTCTTTCTTGACGAGGAGAACAAATTTTTATCATGATAATAGGATTGGTATTTCAGTTGAATACTGATTATCATTATGATAACTACTTAAAAGTTAAAGATAAAAGGTATCTGAAACTTGTGGATGCCGAAACGCAGACCTCAGTATGCATTAGGTAATAGCTCAAATTTTACATAAAAGATAACTGAACTTTTTTCAGTCATAAACAAAACGAAATAAGTTGAAGGTTATTTGTGATGATTGAAATTAAACCTTGAAAATTCAGAAAACTGTTTACGTTGATCGAAAAGACGCCACAGAGTTGGCAGATTGCTTTAAAATTACGGTCAATTCTAAACTGAACTGGTTGCGGCGACTTTCAGTCAATGATGCAATAGATTTTCATTTGCTACTCACACATTTAAAGTTGAAACCGACATTGGTTGTTATTCTGATCAATTTTTCTTTTTAAGTGGACCCTCCAAAACTGAAAAACCGCATTTTCTTTATTCAGTTGAAGATATCGACTAGCTAGGTATACCATAATGGTGTCAATTACAGATCTGCAGCGTCTTAGGAACACATCCCTCTGTGTAAGAATGATAAAGATAATTAAGTTCAAAGAGGAAAGGTAATAGATATATTCTATGGGAATGGTTCCATCTTAAACCTGCGATCGAAAAGACGCAAAATTTTATTAAAACCGTTTTACATGACGGCCAATTTGCTGCGTGTTTCGATTGCTTTCAAAGAAATACGCGACAGATTTTAATTTACCATCAATTAACAGTTTATTAAAAACTGCAGTTACTCAGTTCAATAACTAAGCCTTGTTAAATGGAACACCGCGCGCAATTGCGTTTCAAAGAAAACTTTAATCACCTTCGGTAGTCGTTTGCATTTTTACGATTTTCCATTGGTTTTCACTAAGACACGACTTAAGTGACGAAATTTCCATGATAGCGAGAGAAGAAATCACAGTAAGCCGGCTTCTGTGAAGCTCGCTTGATAATGCCCCCAAAAAGTGCGAAATTAGCCGCCGCAAGTTAGTCGCAGAGCGAAATTTTGCAGTTAACAGCAGAAATCAGCCAGCTTTTTAATCAAAAGCACTATCAGGTAGGTTTTCCTCAAGGAAAAATTGACGAGAAAGGCTTCCTTTCTGATATGTAAACAACTGAAGGCGTTCCAGGGTTGCGTAAAAAGTTCGTGTTAAACTGAAACGAATTAGCCTAATCTGCCAGATTCGAACGCCTTCCATACACTCAAACCTTCTTGCATGATTCTCAAATTTACTCTGGACTGATTCTAGTAACCATGGACAAATTTTGATGCGGGTGAAAATACCTCGTTGATAATGCTGGCTGTAACATTGTGCAAAACCTTAAATGAAACACACTCGGAATGACTTTATTCTAGAAGAATATTCCACCTATTTCTAAAAAAAATGTTTTTTTGGGCAAATTATATACGGTACAGCTTTGAGCTTTTGCGATCAACGGGTAGTTAGCAGTTCTTACGCAAAATTTAGTCCGCTCCACTCATCTTGATAATCAGTATGTACAGCTGAAGTGTGAACCATGACAAAAATGTGGAAATATTTATTTTCATATGATTCTCCGCAACGAAATGATCAAACAAAAGGCAAGATCTTGAGATTCAATATCATTTTTGTTTGCTCTTTTTCGGTCAGTTGACATGCCTGATATGTGGTTTTGGGTGAGTGGATGGGTTCTAATTTTAGTCACTGTGATCGGCAATGGTCTTGTGATTTACCTCGTCATGACAAAACCTCGTCTCCATACCCCCGCCAATTGGTTTATCTTATCGCTGGCTGTGGCCGATCTGTGTGCAGGGTTAGCATTCTTTCCACCCCTGTTCGGAGCCAAATTGTTCTACACCGTCGACCTCACCCATGCTGGTCTCTTTTTCAAGGTCAGCTTCGCCTTCTTGTATTGCTCCAACACCAATCTCTTCGCCATGACGGTCGACCGCTTCCTTGCCATCACAAAGCCTTTGCGGTACATGTCTTACATGACGAAAGAGACTGTTTGGGCAATGATTATTACGGCTTGGACTGGCCCATTTCTACTCTTCTTTTTGCCTTCCATCTTCACCTACAATCACAATCCGACATTTACCATGTTCGTGGAAATATCCCGAGTGCTCATTTTCCAGATTCTGCCCCTCGTTATCTTTGTCGCTGCGACCTCTCATCTCCTTCGCATTGCCTGGAAAGTCAACCGCCAGACACGGGAACTGATTTCTCAAGTTCGCCACAACCATGCTATGAACATGAGTGGACAGAACATCCAGCGACCTGCAGTATTCAGAGTGCAACACAGGAGTTCCACCGTTTTGATCATATTGGTGATGACCGCCTTCAATATCACGTACCTCGGAGGGAATTACCGCTGTCTCTGCTTTCTCACTAATTTATGTCCCTTCGCAGGGACGCTCAGATATATGGTTTATCTGGTGCTGATTGCCAACACTAGTGTCAATCCAGTTCTCTATTCCTTCTTTAAGAGTGATATTCAAAAAGAACTATTTAAGTTGTTCTCAAGGTAGATAAGTCATACGTTATGGCACAGCACGACTCAAAAAGAAAAATAAAGCAGCCATCTCGAATTGCGTTTGGATTCCAGTTTCATCTGTTTGGCTCTTTCGTCTGACATGCTTATAATTACTTCTTTTGAGTTTTCTATCATTTGGTTAGAGGTTTTTAGCCCCTGAATGCTGAAAATTTGTTGTCTGTCTGTCAGATCTTTAGTCGTCAACGAGCCTCCCGCATTGTCAAAATAGACAGATGGGCGCAATATACTTCATTTTGGAATGCACACAAAGATTTTAACGCAGAATATAGTCACGGTAGTGGTAACAATGTTTTGGTGGTCAGCGGGTGAATTCTACTATCGTTTCACAGGAACGCTTCAGTTCTCAGTTGACAAGCTGGTTTTTACGTGTCTTCTTGAGGCCCCGTTCAGTGATTAACTATAAAGATTAAAAAAGAAACAGGTCGAAATCGGGTTACGGAGGGTTTCGCTCCAGCTCAATTTTATGATTCATTAACTCAATTTACATTTACGTAGTTCATTGCGTTCATCCTGTCATGAAGATAATTTTCTATTACGAGACCCTAAATTGTTTTTCAGTCAGTTCTTTTTACTCAATAGGGTAGAAGATTTCAATAAGGACAAAAGTTATCTCAAATATTAAATTAAACATCATATGATTGTTATTAATGACCCGATGTTTTATGGTGAGCTGTTGTTTTAGCTTACAAAAGTTCAATTAGGCTACCCAGCAGTTAACTCATCTAAATTCATTATAAAACTGAAAACGTCTTTTGTTTGATGAGGTTTATCGTTGCGTATCGGAATGCCTCTTGTGCTGTATATTATTCCCTTGGCAACTGTCGGATGAAAAAAACAAAGGTTAGCTAACCACGACAAGTTAGGCAACAAAGCTTTCTGCTTCGATTGACGCTACTCAGTGTAGCAACTGTATCGAAGAAGAGCGCTATATTGGACCGACAAGAGATCAAAACTCGCGAAAAGTTTCTTTTAGACACCATGAAAGCAGCGTTTTACAATCCAACTACGACCAGACTTAAAGAAGCGATTTGCGACGGGAGAATCTATCAAACTCGGCACCTTATTGAGAGCGGAGTGGACCTGAATTTTGTGGACGAACAGGGTTTGACTCCTCTTATGCATGCCGCGCAATTACCTGACGAGAAATGTCGCACACGTAACAGCTTACTCAAACTCTTGCTGCAGCACGGTGCGAATGTAAACATCGTTGATAAAAAGGGCCGACATGTGCTGTCTAGGGCTTGCATCGACGACAAAGAAGATATTGTTAGACTACTGGTTAATGTCGCTAAACAGGACGTTGATTTAAACCAACGAGATGACGACGGAAACACTCCAGTCATGCACTCCGTTCGCACAGGTAACGCCACTTTAGTGAAGTTTATAGTTAGCGAACTGAATAAGTTTCAAGTTGACATAGATGTTCGAAATCTCGAAGACAGAACACCTTATTTGGAGGCCAAACGACTGGGGAATGAAGAGTGTGCGACTATCCTGTTGACTGAAGGGAATGCGTCAACAAATATTCAGGTGAATCCTTTTTTGGATTTTATGAGCGTAAAAGAAGAGAAATCTTGGAACGGCAGGGTGCGAGGTGTCGAGGAAAGTAAATATGCTGCGATTAACAACTCTGCTGAGAGGAAACAATCTAATCCCCGGAATATTCAAAAGAAACACACTCCTACAAAGAAGACCCCTACTTCGAACGGCGAGAAACCGTCTTCAAACCACGAAAGGGTCTTGAAAAGGAAGACAAGTTCACCCAGAAAAATTTCAAGTGCAAATTTAGAGACTGTAGACACCAAACACAAGGAAAAGTCTCAGTATGCCCGCCGGCGTAAATATGCGTGGCATGAGAGAATTATGAAACACCCGATATCACGCAAGGAGGAAGTTGAGAAAGTATTAGAATTGGCCACAACAGAATTAGAGAGGGGGGCGGATGACGCTAACCCAGACGGCATCAGTGAACTCAGTTGCTCATTTGACACTAAAAAATCTTTTATTGAAAGACAAGTAATCGCAAATTCTAAAGGACAAACGCGTCGGGTGATAAATACAATGGCAAATGCTACTTCCGTTCGAGCGGACACAATTCGGCGAAGTCAAAACATCAACACAAAGTTGCATCCAAATTCTGTTGTTGGCCGGAAATCGAAAGAAATTTTCATAACACGCAATCATAATCGTTTGTACCCTTCGCCAAAAACTTCGGAAAATGCTGCTGTGGACGACGAGTACAGCTGGTATTCGCACTTCAGTGTCTATAATTCCCCATCGGTGTCTTTTCTCACTAAAATAATGGCCATTTATGCGGAGCAAATGTCCCCCGACTCTTCTTTTCGTTTCGGTGCCGGCCCGGAGAGGACTACGAAGAAACCCGACGAGCCGATGGTGCCAAAGATCTCTGTCGTAGCTATGGGGGCTAATGAAGACCTGCAATCCGAAGGAGGTCGTTATTCTCCATCAAGGTCAGCGCTGTCTAGCCGGTGCAACAGTGCTTCAAGTACCACCTCGAATCGTAGATTCCAGTCGGCTGTATCAAGAACAGTTGCATCATATTTATCAGGGAAAAGATCTCTTTCAACGCTCAAAGTACAGGATGTAGATTTCTGATTAGTACGTGGCCTGTCCAGCGAAAGCTTGACAGGACGGGACAAAGACAGGTTTTGAGTCTTAAGTGGTTGCTTAATTTAAGCAGCTATTTTCATTCATTTTTAAACCAACCAAAGTTATTCAGCTCACTAAA